AAAAAAAAAAAAAAAAAACAGGATCTTGCTAAGTAACCCTGGCTGGCTGTGAACTTATGGTGAGCCCCTGCCAGCTGAGTGTTAAAATGAAAGGCATGTGTCCCCATGCATGGGTTTTATTTTAAAACCTACAGCAAAAGAGCTTTCTTTTTCTCTGAAATTATTCCTTTTAGTTTATGCACCAATGTCTTCCCATACAATTCTATTCAGGCCTTATCCATTTTTAATCTGTTCATTTTTGCAAATCTCCAAAGAATAAAGAACAAAAGTCTCTAGGACCTAAAAGCACTACATCGTAAGAATCTAACACTTAACTTTCTCCCCTCCCCAGCTCGCTGTGGGAACTAACTTTGAAACATCCGTCCAGGCTCTCAGCTCTCAGCTCTCCACTGCTGTACTCAACTTATTTTCTTCAGCAAACACAGACTATGATGAGGACACAAGTTTATAGGCTCTAAGAAGCCCAGCCAGGGCTCAAACTCATTAATCATGCCCAGCTCCACCTTCCAAATCAACATGGTCAGTTTTATGACTTTTATCAACACCGATGTTTTTTTTTTAATGTACTTAGTACAGGGTCTGCAGGGTCTCACTACACAGCTTGGACCCACAGTGATTCTCCTGTGTTCAGCCTCCCAAACGCTGGGATTACAGGCATACACCACCATGCCCAGTGTCAACTGCCCTCTCGGAACACTCCAGGGGCGGGGCTGACATGGCAGGCTGGGGATTGAACCTCCAGCCCCTGCATCTTCCTAAACAGGCGCTTTAATCCACTGAGCTATCTAGATGGCCCTCAAAGCTGATTTCTATGCAGTAAAGAACAGATCTTGGGCTAGGGGAACAGCACTAGCTTAGCACATGCAAGGCCCTGGGATGGACTCTTGGTATTATGAAAGAAGAAAGAGAGAAAGAAGGAGGCAGGGAAGGAGAATTCTTTATAAAATTCTGATAATTAAGAAAAAAATGGTGTAACATCATCCTTTACAGCAGTAAGGCTGAACCCCTTAGAGCTTTCAATGGCATAAAAAGTCACTGCAGCACGAGGGCTGTAGGTTTGCCAACAATGCTCTTACAGTGAGTAAACTTTACTTCAAACAGGTAAACTATCTCACTTACACAGGGATTGTGAAGCAAACCTAGAAAGGTCTGGGTTCTGAAGCACTGTGTAACCCTTTTCTTTGAGACAGGATATTGACAGTAGTCTAGGCTGCCCTCAAACTTGCAGCAATCCTCCTGCCTCAGCCTCCCAATTATGTGGACTGCACCAGCCCCGCCTCTTCCTCTTGGTCCCATATTGAACTCAAGTTGGAAGAGGCGAGTCTGGTCTCAAAACGAGGTAAAACTGCCACCCCGTCGCCCCCAGCCCGACTCCGGCTGTCGCTGTCATCCCTGGGGGGGAGGAGGGCCAGGATCCAAAGGAGCCAGAGCAGTTGAGGAAGCTGTTTATTGGTGGTCTGAGTTTTGAAATTGCCAATGATAGTTTAAGAGAACATCTTGAAAAAGAGGGCCCACTCCCAGATTGTGTGGTAATGAGAGATCCTCAGAGCGCTCTTGAGGCTTTGGTTTTGTGACTTACTCTTGTGTTGAAAAGGTGGATGCAGCAGTGTATGCTCGACCGCACTAAGCTGACAGGCATGTAGTGGAACCAAAGAGAGCTGCTTCTAGAGAGGAGCCAGTAAAGCCTGGTGCCCTTCTAACAGGGAAGAAAATTTTTGTTGGTGGTATTAAAGAAGATACAGAAGAAGAATTTGAGAGACTATTTTGAAAAAATATGGAAAGATTGAAACCATAGAAGTTATGGAAGACAGGCAGAGTGGGAAAAAGAAGATTTGCTTTTGTAACTTTTGATGATCAC